CTGAGGCCCCATCCTAAGGCCTCCTCCAGGCAGGCATCCAGACTCCAGTCACCCCATCCTCCAACACTTGAGTAGGAAGTTCAGCACTAGGTACCAGGCCCCAGCTCCATGCAGCTCACCAGCCTAGCAACTGCCGAAATGTTGCGGTCCAGACACATCACTTATAAGACCACTGATCTTGTCACGACCCCACACACATGAGTAAGTGTGGTTACTATTCTGCAAAGGAGGACACAGAAGAAGGAAAGCAAAGATACTTGCCCAAAGTATGCATTTAAAAAGCAGAACAGATTCAAACCTGTACTGCAAAATCTCGCATCCGTTGTTGGTGTCTCTTTGATATTAGAATCCCGTCCTACCCCCAAAGACACATCATTGCCCTTCAGAGACCACTAGCCCCAGAGACCCTCCACTACTACCCCCAGAATTTAACTCCTCTGATGCCACACAAGGGGTGGGGGCAGGGAGCCGGGAAGCTACAATTTGAACCTGGGTCCCTGCAGGACCTGCTGCATCTCATAGGGAAAGCTGCGGTCTTCTGCTTGCTTCCAGCGACCTGGATGGCATGTAGGGAGTGGAAAGCAGGAAGAAATTATCCTTGAGTCCCCACTCTCCTCTTGGGAGATCACATCTTTTCTTATGAGACCCTGTCTTTGCTCCCAGACAACTCCAGACCCCATTTTCATACCTTCCAGTCCATGTTACCTCCCAAGGTCCTCCCCATCAAGGGACAGGATAAGACTGTCCCCAAAATTGATCTTTATAGCTTTTCACCCTGTTTGGAGGGCCTCTTATTACCCAGATGACAGAAAATGTCAAAAATAAATCCAGGTCAAGAATCAGCCTGTGTCTTCAGGCCTCTCCCACTGCCAGGGTCTAAGATCTCAAGCCTGGGAAGAAAAGAGGGTGAAGAAGCAAAGAGGAAACAGAAAGCTTGGTGCCAGGGCAAATGATCTGGTATAGGTGCGTGAGGTGGCAGGAGATGGGCCTGGGTGATGGCACAGGCTTAGGCTGAGAACCGTACCTGCAGGCGCTGGCCTTGACTGCATCTGGAAAACATCTAGCACAGGGAAGGAAGACAGAAGTGACTCAGAATACCTTCCCCATTCAGTCCCAGGAGAGAGAGAGAGTATGTGTGTGTGTTTGCGCTGCACATGTGACCTTTTCCAGGCCTAGGCCCCACCCTTGCTGAACCCCTTGGGCTGAGCCCAAAGTAGAAGCTGGTAATGGCAGCTAAGCTGGCAATGCCCCAAGTGGCTGGGATGAGGCTTCACGGGACAGTGGTGCTGAGAGCTTTGTCTCACCTCACCCACCAGTGAGTCACCTAAGCCAGGCCAAACCCTGGAGTCACTGCTCTTTTCTCCCCCCAGCATACCTGGCACTCCGCTGGAGCAGAAAGAAGCCGAGAGAACATGTGGGGCCCCAGCATGGAGTAAGGGAGTGATGACTCCACCTAGCTGGCTTCCAGGTGACACGCAGAGGACTCAGGTCACACTGCCACCACAGCCTCTCTCTGCCTGCTCCCAACTCCGTCCCAGACCCCAGCCTCCTCACTCTCTTCAGGCCCATCTTACCCAGCTGCCCATTCTACCCAAGAGTCAAACCACCCCCACTGACTGCAAGTGACCCCAGAGCTCACATCACAACACCATCGCACCCCATCAGACGTGGCCCCTCCAACTCTAAATGCCCTAAGCACTGCCCTCAGAGAACCTGCTGGTCCCAGTCTCCAGACCGCATGCCCACTCTTCTCCACCATCATTCGCCTCTTCAGGTGTTTTGACTGAGCTGCAAGGTGAGCCCTGGCCCCAAAAGCATGCCACTGCCATAAGTGAATATCCATGGCTATCCACACAGGAGGAATCTGGTCATTCAGAGGACTGAGGGAGCAGCCAAGTAGGTCCTAAGAGACATCGGCCTGTCTCCCACCACTGTCCCTCTGTCCTCAGTCACCTAAGTGGAAGAGTCCCAGATGACAGGACCTGAGTTTTTAAGAAAAAGAAAGTATCTCCTGGGCTCTCCATGTCCACTGTAGCATTTAAGCCTGCCTACCCCCCCCCCCAAAGAAACACACACAGAGTTACACATATGGATGCACGTATGCCCTAAACACACATAGAATTCATGTACGGAAACACATTTAAAGGTGCTCAACATAAAGTAAGTTCCACGAGGGCAGGGATGATGTGTTTTCCTGTGAGTGATCGGGGATCTCTACCCCTATAAGAGTAAGCACCTGAGAAGCATTTCTTGGAGGAATGGCACACAAACAAATGTATACATGCGCTGCACACAAGAAAGTTGGGCTTCCAGGCAAGCAGTGCTGGTGCGCACACAAACTCCGTGCACCTGCACATAAAGCCATGTGAATTACCTGCATCTAGACTCACACGCTGTGGCATCCATGTGTGCATTCTATGCACCTCACATGCTGTGCATGGAATGCACTTGCATGTAGCTAACTACTGTGGATACCGTAAGTGTTGTGTATGTCACACAGATATCAGATAAATGTCACATACACTACACGTGCATGCTCACCTACATAAATGACTGCACATGGACACACCGTTTCCCTCAAACTCAGTCTCAAGGCCCCGTCCCCAGGTCTGACTGCCACAACCAGAAGTACCCACCAGGTGGCGCTCTTCTGACACTGCCTGTGCTCCCAAGTGTTGCCAGAGAAGTCGAGCCTCCTTCGGACAAGGCACAAAACTTGCGGAGCCAGATGTACCCCATGTGCTCCCCCTTCCTATCCCCACCCATGTCGCGGGGTCTGCGCCCTTGGTCGCAAAGTCTGCAATCGACTTTCTCTAAATCTGGTTCACCCTCTCTGACCTCCAGGCCTCTGATTAAAGGGTGGAGTTTCTTTTGAGGCTCCAGTTCTGCTTAGTCCTCAGATCCACACCGTTCACCGGCGTGCCAGATCTGGCCTCATCGGACACCCTCGGCTCAGACCCTTGCTCAGAGCCTTGGTAGTAGGGAGCTGCCAGATGCAGGGGCCGCCTTCCCCACAGCGCCCCGAACAAGATCATCTGCACACGCGTGGTACCCACACACCAATACTCACGCCGGTTGTGGTGGACTCCCCACACCCTTCCCTGAATGGAGGGGCCCCAAACCCCCAGTCCAGGTCAGCCAAAAGCTGGGAGAATGTCTGGGTTCTAGTACCCTTGATCTGGGAGAGGCTCGCCCTGTTAACCCTTCATGCCGGGTTAACCCTTCACCCCTCCCTGCTTCCTAACAGAAGGGAAGGCAGGAAGGCGTTCGCTTATCTTAAACTACTTAAATCCTCCTCAGGGTCCCGTTGGGAGAGTGAAGTGTGGCGGAGCCTGACCCTGCTGCAGTCCCCGGCCACTCCAACTCAGCTTTCCCGGAACCTCACGTGTGGATGTGAGCGACCTAGGTCGGAAAACGCGGTGAAGGCTTGCAAACCGCGGGGGAGGCGAAGCCGCGAGCGCAGGCAGTGGCTCAGCTCCCCCTTCCCTCCTCCCCGCTCCTCCCCCGGGAGCAGCGGGAAATTATTTATTAAAACGCCGCCCGCGCTCTCATTTATTTGCGGTGAATAATCCTCGGCATCTCAGCGCGTTTATTAAACCTTTCCCGTCCCCGCATTACTTTAATAATAAATCGCGTGTCACTTTCCAGCGACGTTATTAAAGCCGTCCGCTGGAGCCGAGATGGGGGGGGAAGAAGGGGAGGGCGCAGCAGGGGTTCCTACTATTCCAAGCTGTGGGCCGGGAACCGCAAGGCCGCGGAGGGGGAATCTGAGGCTATAAGGACGTTGTACCCGAACATTCCACAAAGTCTGCAAAAGCGATCCGAGAGTGCGGGTTCGGGACGCGCGTGACCCTCTCGGATTTGGTGCCGCCTCAGCTCTGTAGGTGGGCGCGGTAGGATATATAGGCCCGCAAGGGGGCGCCTCTGAGCCCAGACAGTCGGGCGGGAGCCCACGGCCCAGAACAAGCTTGGGGTGGATTCCCAGGCTACCCAAAGACCCAGGGCCCTGGACCCCCTTTCAGCCAGGACAGACCTCCTTAAGGTCCAGAAGCCGAAAGGCACCGCACGTACCCTCTTCCCACCACTTCCCCACTCCTGCTTCCACTGTATCCAACGCCCTTGAGCTGTCACGTCATGTTCAAGTGCAGTCTGCTGGGGCCACTGGACTCCAGCCAGGGCCCAGCAATCAGCTGTGCCCCGCAGCAGACATGTGACTCTGCCACACCCTCAGGGTTGGGTTCCCGAGCCCTCCCTTCCCAAGCAGTTCCTCTGCTCAGACTCTAAGCCTTAAGATCCAAGCCTGAGATACCTGCTTGGTGGTGCTGGGCTGGGTCTCTACCTGGATCCCAGGTGGATAGGAGGCCGTCAGCACTTTAGGGTCTTGGTCTTGTGGACTAAAGATTTTTAGATTTCCTTTTCTCCTTTGATCAATTACCTAACCCAGTGTCCCTGGGCTAGGTTAAAAGAATGTGGAGAGAGATTTGGGGAACACCAGAGTACCGCTCTGTGAGGAACCAAGTAGGACAGGTCACAGTGTAGGCAGGTGAAACCACAGGCTTACCATGACCTTGTCTGGGTTCTGCCAGGAGATGGGTGGTTTCAGGATGTAGCGCAAACATGTGGCCAGCCCTCCCAACCCCCCCACCCCCCACCCAATTTATTTTTACACAAGGGGTTCCATCCCCCTATACTTAGTTCCTACCCTGCCTGGGAAGGGGAGCCAAGGGATGAACAGCTCCGCAGGGCTGCTCTATCTCTAGACCAGCCCCTAGGAACCAGCCTGGGAGGACACCCTGCCCCCACCAAATGCCTCCAGCCTTCCTCTTGAGGACTGGGTAGGCCCCAGTGCAAGCCTCCTCCAGTATGTCTGGCAGGTGTGAACTTAGAAAGTAGGACCTACAGTTCTGGAGTTAGAGTCCTGTGACCACGGGAGACCTCCAAAGAAATGCAGTCCTCATGCGCATATATACATGACTGAGCTGTGCATCTGGGTGTCTCTGTGTGCTCATAAAGCTTTATTGAGAATCTACTGTGCACAGTTCTATGCCAGGCACTGTCCAATACAGGGTGGTTGGTATAAAATATGGTGCTAGCCCCGTGGAGATCATGACCCATCTTCCTGCACTGAACTAAGCCATCCTCCGCTGTGCTCTCCTGGACAGCAGGTGGGAGTAGCAAAAAAATACTGTGGTAAGTAAAGACAAGTGGGACTTAGGGGAGCAGGAAATTTCTAGAAGGTCAGTTTTGAGGGAGGATAAATTGGGGTGAGCAAAGATTGGAGATTTGGAAAAAAAAAAAAAAAACACCCACAGGATGTTCAGCCAAGGAGAGCAGCTAGGTAGGAAAACTGGCTGAGCAGGGCCAGGAGGAAGGCTACTGGAGGAAGTGGAGGGTCCTTTAGCTGCACCTTTGGGCCTACTCCAGAGCCTCCCCCTCACCCCGCTAGGTATCACTGGCCTCTGTTGTTCCCCTTCTGCCTGGCTGGTCTCTGGAGCCTCTCCCAGTGAGGGAGCTCCTGCATGGGCCCCTTCACATCCCACGCCCCTATCTCAGCTTCTCTCATTACCCTCCCTCCAACTTTTGTCTCCCTTTACAATCCCCTGGACTAGGAGCACTGAAACACTCCATGGGGGCCTGCTCCCCTTTCCAGGTCTTTTCAAAAGCTGGGATGAACACTAACCCCCCTCACCCACCCCCAGGGGCCAGGGCTCCAGATTTAGTAGTAATCCTCGCCCTCTTCACTCTCAGCCTCCTGCCCGGGAACCAGGTGCAGGGCTGGCAGCTGGGGGACGCCCGTGGAGTTCAACTGTTCTGCAAACACACGTGGGTGAAGGAGAGAGAGCAGGCAAGAGAGGCTGTCAGTGTGCACGTGTCCCAGTCTTCAGGAAAGCCCTGCTTGCCTGCAGCCCAAACCCACCACCAGCCAGCCCCCAAGTTCAGGGCTCCCCCTTACCTGGAGTGAGCACTGTTAGGCTAGCTGGGGCCTCGACCTGACCCAGGGCATTGCGGGCGAGGCAGCGATAGGTGCCCTCATCACTGGGACGTACAGCCTGGATCTGCAGCCAGCCAGTCACCTCAAACCTCTGGGGTCCACCCCTAAACTGCAGACAGAGGAGGAATCAGAGGGGTCTTTCTAGGGGGACCCTGGGCTGCCTTAGAGAGGTTCTGCTTTCTGCCCTTACCTGCACAGAGATATGGGGGTCATCCCCTGGCAGCTGAATGTCCAAACCGTCCTTCCTCCACTCGATGGAAGCCATGGGGTAAGCAAACACCTCACAGCCAAAGATCACATCCTGCCCCGTCACATTCCAAATGTCATATGGGTACATTACGATCTGAGGCTCTGGGGGCAGAGGTGGGAGACCTGAGAACAGGATGGCACATGCAGCCCAACAGGGACCCCCTACAGGAGCCATTGTGAAGGAACACAACACATGCTGAGGTAAACACACATTCATGAACACAGCACGACACATCCACACACAGGCTCATACACATAATGGCTCAGGTACACATAAGGACACACACACAGAGACGGAGAAGTACAAGCAGACAGGAGGTGCATGCACACGGACCAACCTCCATGGACAGCCACTGTCCCTGACTGCTCCCTTGTCCTCATTCCACCCTCCAGGCCCCTATCCTGCTGCACTGTAACAAGCTCCTCCCCCTCTTTCCCTCCCCCTTTTTGAAGGAGTTCCAGTTCCCAAAGGTCCCAAGAGCTTCTCTTCCCCCATGCCACCTCTGCAGGTGTCCACGTGACCAAATACCTGAAACTGGACCTGGGAAGCCAGCAGAAAGCCTGGAGGAGTGGGGGAAATTGAGGGGACACCTCTGTTTTCCCAGCAGCCCCAGCCAAGCCAGACCCCCTCAAAGGGGCTCAGGAAGTGAAAGCTGCTAAAGTTGCCAAAGAAAACTTGAGGCTTGAATGGCCCTCAGCCCCCTGGGATGGGGGAGAGTGGCGTTCACTAACCCCTAAGCACAGAAAGGAGGAGAGAAGCCCTGTGGTGGGGACACTGGGTTAAGAGCGTGGGCTGTGAATCTGCCCAAATGAAACCTGATCGCATCTCACAGGAACCCAGGTCTCCTGCCTGGGCTTCTGCAGCCGGGCAAAGTCTAAGAGTCTCTTCACTCTCAATTTTGAGGCCAACTATTGGCTATGTGCCTGATTCTTTGGAAGGTTGGTCTGTGCCAGCTGGGCACAGGCAGCCAGCACAAAGCTTGGAACCCACACCTTCAGGCTTCCTGGGACCAGCCAGAGCAGGCGCCTATTTTGGACTCAAGGCCCCCCAGGCCTCTTCACAGCTGGCCCAAAACCAGTGTGGTCGTCAAACCCCAAGCCCTGGGGGACCGGGCCTCAGGCTGTGCGTACCGGATTCACAAGGCCCTGGGTGTGCCACCGTGAGGTTGGCGCCCGGCTGAGCACTAGCCGCCTCTTGCAGGCGGCAGATCTGGGCGTAGGTGCGGCCGTCCGACCCACAGAGAGGCCGTTGCGAACGGCACACGCAGAGCGGCTCCGGCACCTCTCCGCGGCTCAGGTCGCCGCCAGAGTCCAGCCGGCACTCAAGCTGCTCGCCACAAAGCCCGTAGAAGTGGGCGCTGGGGTCCAGGTCGCAGAGCTGGCCCTCAAGGTTGGCGCATTCCCAGCAGCAGCCACACGCATCACGCACCCGGCCAGCCAGGCAGCCCCGAGGAGTGGCGCACTCTTCCGGCCGGCAGGTAGTGCAGCCCTCGCCCTCCGCCAGCAGCCGCAGCCAGCCTCGCCGCAGGTACTCTGGGCCTGAGGACGGTCGTGCGCCGGTCCGTGCCTGCACCCTCAGCAATAGCAGTAGCAGCAGCAGCACCAAGGCAGCTGCAGGCGGCGGTGGCATGGTTAGCTGGAAGCCCTGTGCACACTCGGGGCATCAGCAGGCTGGTGGCACCCTGCCAGGGAGAGAAGCCAGGTCAGATCAGAAGCAGCCTCACAGTTCCCTGTATCACAGCTTGACCCTAGCACCAGCCCCTCCCCTGCTTCTCTGGAGTCAAGTAGACTCTCAGCTCAAAGTATCCAGACCCTCTACGGCTCATCCAGTTATACTGGGTGGCAACTGTCAGGCTAGTCTTGAAGGTTAGGGAGAGTTGAGAAGAAAAGGTGATGAAGTTCAGAAACACGCACACATGCAAACGCACATGCCCACACAACACCAGGGTCAGCACAACGCACCCAACACTGATGCTTCCTGTCCTAGAGGTGAATGGAAGTTAACTCCCGAAGTAGGAGTTGTTGATAGGGCTGGAGAGGGAAGCAGCCTGATGTCCTGGGGCCCAGGATGCTCACCTAGTGTCCGGGGCTAAGCCCTTTTGAGCAGCGTGACTCCAGTCCGCAAAACGAGGTCGTGGAAAGAAAGCTGTAGTGAACAGTGGGCTGAGCCCCCGCCACCTCTGCTCTGGCTAAGGATCTGAGAGAGCCCACGACTTGGACTCAGAGAACAGCTCCGCCGCCCCCTCTCCCCGCCCCTCAACGTCGCACCAACACACACCCTCCCCCTAGTTCTGAGCCTGCCAATTTTATGCAGCCACTGAGGACCCTCCCGGGCCATTTCCCTCTAGCGGGGCCAAAGTCACAGCAAAGGAGCTGTAATCGGACACCGGAGCCGGGAGAGGGGAGGGGTGTGAGAACCGCAGAGCTGAGGATGCAGGCGTGGGGGAGGAGGGCCTGCGCGGTGGGCTATCTGGGAAGCTGAGTTGGTTCCACAGCTAAACCCTGACCCAGCTGTTTGGCCCTTGGGGTCGGCTAAGAGCAGCTGCACGGAGCTGCTGCGCTCTGGCCAAACTGTGTGCGTGTTTCTGAACTGGAGGGCAGAGTCCGCCACAGTAGTCTCCCCGCAGCCTAGGGCGGCTTCCTGGGAGCTACTGTAAGTCTGTCCATCCAGCTTCCCCAGCAAGGCGCCAGCGGAGACTCGATGCTAACATCTGTCTCCCCACATCTGGCCTACTCCTCCCAGCCCACATCCGGCAGGTGAGTCAGCCCACGGCTGCGCTGGATGATTAGAGGTCTGAGTCGCCGGCTGTGGCGGGAGAGGTGGGCCGGGCGCCTCCCCAGTAGGCAATGCTCAGGGCTGGATTATAGGCTACGGTCTGCGAGCTGCCAGAGCCAGAAGAATCCGGTCTCGCGGCCACCAGCGCCACCGTGGCACTTCCAGCTAGGAATCGGGAGGCGTGCATTCCCGGAGGCTCGCCCGCCCAACCGGGGGTCTGCCAGGCCCCGCCCCGGCCTGCCCCAGCGGTTCACAGAAGCCACCCCGCAGTGCAGATTGGAAGGGGGCGGCAACCACACGCCAAGGCCCCGGACGAGGCGGCGCTTAGTCCGGCCCGGCCCGGAAGGACCTCCGGCGCGGGGCCACTCGGCCCGGCCTGCGTCGGCACACAGCCGGTGGTCAAGGCGGGGGCCTCGGGCTCGGGCCCGCGGGGGCACTGGAGCCCGGAAAGTCGCGCCACGGGCCAAGCCCTTCACTTGGGCGTCCCCTGGCAGCGTACGCGACCCTCGCAGCTCTCTGGGCTCCGACCCGCTGCCTCCGCTGAGGGACAGGGAGTGAACTTCACGCGTGTTCTCCAGCTCTCGCGAGAATCACGACAGGAAGTCAAGGAGTTCGGAACAGGAAAAGCCCGCGTGTTTTAAACCGGAAAGAGGGTGGGCGGGGCCGCTCTGACCGCTTTTTGAGGGAACTCCCTGTTGTGGGCCGTGGGGCCTTTTGTCAACCTAGGACTCAAGTGCAGGGTCGGAAAACTATTACAGTACCTGAGGGAAAGAGAAAGGGGGTTGGGGTGGTAGGAGGTGAAGACTTGAAATTGAGGGGCTGAGTAATGGAGCCACCTAAGGAGAGGTCTCCGCTCTAATTCACAAAATACCTTGAGGGCAGCTCTAATTCACAAAATACCTTGAGGGCAAAGATCGTTGCGGGGATACGGAAAGGAAACAGTCGGGGAACGCTTAAAGACATGTTTCCGGCTTCAGGGGCTTGGAGTCAGTATTTAAACAGCAAACTCCACCGACCTAGAAACTCTTCACTTACCCCTTTTATTGTAGCCGGTTGTTTACTTTCAGTCTTTGCTATGCTTTAAAGTGTCTGTTATTAAGAATCGTACCTAACTCCTACTGTATCTTGTGAACCTAGCCCTGCGCCTGGCGGCACAGTAAATTCTCGGTAAATATTTGTGGATTAAATGTGAAAGACTTAACTGAATGTGAAAGTCAAGTTTGGATTTTGAGTAGCTGATGGAGAAGGCTGAATAGACTTGGAACGAGCGCCCTCTGGTGGGCTCGCGTTTGGTAACGAGACTGACCGTGAGTGCAACTGGCACCAAAGATTCTGACTCAAAAAAATTTTTTTTAATTTATGCATACAGTACTGGGGTGTTGGCCAGAGGTGCAGGGGCGGTGAGAGGATTCACCAGAGACAGAGTGGGGAGCAGAACAGGCAGATTGAGCAGCACACTGCTGAGGGGAGCAGCAGGGAGACAGGAGAGTTCTGCTGTGTTGTGTGGGTCCCCTCCCTGGCCAGGGATCCAACTCTAGCCAAAGCGTCTGGGGCCAGCTTCGCAGTGCTCGCCCCAACCCGTTGTGCCACCATGGAGGGCCCCAAAGATGTTGACTTTTATAGATGTTTTATTCGTGCTCTTGGTTCCAGGAATTACCTCATCTACTAAAAAATACTTTTACTTTTAGGAGGTGATTGCATAAGGCGCCACTTGAGAGAAATCTGGACGCGTTGCTAGATCTCATCATCCGACACTATTAAGGCTCTAAAACACAGACAGTAACATCCATTTGCATCATATTAGTAAAGAAATAGCAAAAAAAAAATGCATTATCATGCTGGATGACAGGAAAAGGAATCTAATCCAGATGATATGAGTACCACTAGGAGGGTTTGCTGGGGGAACAGTATCCTTGCCTTCACAGGAGGGAAACTAGATTCACAGGAAGAAGGGGAAGGATTTCTTCTCTGTGGTTTACTTTAAAACTTGTATTTTGAAGTTTTTGCAGTGATTGCAAAAGTAGCTCAGAAAGTCTCTATGTACCCTCCATGCATCCTGTCTCAATGATAGATAGCATTGTCCATCACCAATTCAATTATCCAATTATTTTTGGATAATTACCAAAAATAGGACATGGACATTACTGTAATACTAGTAACAAAACAATGGCCTTTATCCATATTTCACATTTTTTCCATGTATTAGTACATGGAATTATGTGTCTATGTGTTTTAACTGAAATTTTTATCATGTACAGGTTTGTTTAACCATGAGGTATTTAACCAGGGGCTTCTGGAGTGTGAAAAGAATGGCCAAAGTGCATGTCAAGGAGAAACTAGTAGAATCTATAACCTTTGACAAAATGTCTACCTGTTGGAGCAGCTGTAGGGGTGAATGGAATCCCAGGGTCACTGATTGAAGTTCCTTGTCTATAAATGGCATACACACATCTGGTGAACACAAGTCATATTCTCCAAAGTGGTGACTCTTTTTTTAAGATTGATTTATTTATACATACAGAACTGGGGTACAGGCCAGAGATTCAGGGGCGGTAAGAGGGTTTGCCAGAGACAGAGTGGGGAGTGGAACAGGCAGATCTAATGAAATACACTGCTGAGGGGAGCAGCGAAGAGACAGGAGAGGTCTGCCGTACCATGTGGGTCACCCTGGATCTGGGGATCGAAATTGCACTGAAGCAGTGGCTAGTTGGCAGTGCTGCGCTTTAACCTGCTGTGCCACCAGGAAGGGCCCGTATTCAGTTTTATAAGTAATCTAGAGAGAGTTTAAAGTATATGGAAGGGTATGTATAGGTTAAATCCATATTCTGTGCCATTTCATGTTAGAAAATTAGGCATCCTCAGATTTTGGAATCTTTGGGGTTCCTGAACCCCATGGATACTGAGGGGTAAATATCCAAACTGATTTGTCTACTTCTGATATTTTTTTTCCCAAGCAGCTAGGGAAAAAACTCATAAACAGCTCCAGTCTGTATCACACTTATGGATGCCAGAAAAAGCATCAGTATATCAAATCTCATGAGAATATTTGATTGACTCTGCCTGGGTGATGTGCTCAACAAAATTAATCTTACAGCCAAGACCTGACCAGCCTGGAGCTTAAGTCTATCCCTGTCATAGGTGCAGTCAACATCCCACCATTTACTCTTGGCCAGTGGCTACCTGCAGACAGTCAGATAGTCTCTGTACATCTCGCAGGTCTTTCTGCCTAAGAGAGTCCCCTGGCCCCAAAGTGAGCTCAATTAGGTAGGCAAGCTAAAAATGTCACTGTTAACTCAGGAGCAAGCTGTATTCAAAGAGAGTCAGAAGGTGGAGGACAAATCTCCCTGCTTCCTTTCCTTTCAGTGGGAAAATTTTGTCACTCCTTGCAGAAATGCTATGGTGGAATTGAGCCCTGGTCATCTTCAGCAATTAACACACTTATTCATGCACCTTTATTTGCTTTTCCTACTTTCCCTTTTCTCTCATTGTGTTTTTTAGAGACAATTTTCCAGATAAACTGTTTGTTTCAGTATCTGCCTTGATAACGCTGGAAAGGCAGGAGGCCATCTTCTGGAAAGCCCCATCTGCGCATTACCGTTGCTCACACCCCACTTTCAACCTTTGCTCTTACAACGAAACAGTTTAGTAGTGGCTTATTTGGGGAGCTGGACAATAGGGTAATAGCCAAGACTCCCCTAAGCTGGCTGTTTCTGTGAAACCAAGAAAGAATGTGGTAAATATATGCTCAGAACTCGAAGGGGGGGAAATGGGCTGTTTTCCAAGGGCTGATGGAAAATAGGGAGGCCTGTTCGTTAGCCAGGAATGACTTGTCTTTCGGCAGCCAAACCACACACAGACTGCTTGCCCCCAGAGCATCCAAATATGGCAAATACAGTGCTGAGCAGAGAACTGCCCTCTCTGTTCAGTGTGGACAACTCAGTATTAACCGAACAAACGTGAGGCTCAGCTCTGAGTACGTTCGAAGATCATCCAGACGTCCATGTCAATAGGCTCAGCTGTACAAAGCCCCAGACACCTCCATGTGCCCGTTTTTCTGTAGGGTGAGGACAGGAAGAGGTTGCAGAGGGCACCAAGCAGGAGAGCTACGGACACCTGTTGGCTCCATCCCCCAGTGGAGAAGAACACAAGTGGGGGTTTAATAAGTAAAACTACATTCAGGTTGAGCTCAAGAAATATGTCGAAATAGGTACTTTAAACTAGGGGCTGAGATTTCTGGGGTCCTAGGACTTTGCTTGCTGTCCCACTGCCTCTGCAAACTTCTAACAGAACTTGGGTTTTTCCCAGAGAGAAGTTTCCCTGCGCAGACCCACGTTGTGCATGTGCTCAAGAGCTGCCAGAACCTAACACCAGCCTGGCAAAGCTGGCATCTGCCATGGGTGCCAGCCAAGGAGACAGGCTAGGAAGGAACC